TATTTCACGCCTTTAATTCATGGTGATACAGTCGTGTTTATTTCTGGAAGAGATACTGATGTCCTTCCAGGTATTCATCAATTCCCACAGCAATGAGTGATAAGAGGTTCCTTTTTCTACAGACTGTCTCCACTGAACTATAAATATGTCTGAGGATCCACCTGTACTAGAAATGGACCTTAACTTAGACAAAAGGAATTAGATTAAACACTTCCAAACACTGGAACAATTTTACCATCAAATTAGGAAACACCACCTACCATGCATCTGCCAATGGCCCATATAAAAATAAGATATCTTACACAACAGAATCCTGGGGTGTGACTGAAACTCTTGATTTTACCATCAGATTAGGAAACACCACCTACCATGCATCTGCCAATGGCCCATATAAAAATAAGATATCTTACACAATAGAGTCCTGACAGATTTGCACTTCTGGGGTCTGACTGAAACTCTCAGCTGTCAACACTAGACAGACACAGAAAAATGAAACAAGTGTTTAATACCGTGGTAGGGTGTGTGCCCTCAGAGTGAAGCTGCTCATGCCTCAGAGGTCTTTGATGTCACAGAGTCACCCACAAACTGCAGAACTGAGCAAGGAGAAGACTTTCCAGGATGCAGTGGCAGAAAGGGAATTTCTCCAGTGTAAACATTCCACAACATGGGATATGTCTCATACTCCCATTCCCTGTAGTGTTAAAACCCTCTCTGCTCTAAAGGAATAGAATTTATGAATGAACAATGAATGAAAGCATACAAACTGGTATTTGGAAATAGGAACTACTGTTTTAAGTTCTGTTTTGCTTAATTATTTATTTTTTACTACGTTAATTATGCATGAAAAACCCCCAATACGTCTGAATTTTCTTTAGGCAATGCACACTATGGCATGCTAAGAAAATTATATATTGAGATGTCTATTCCTTCCATTAGTCATAAGAGAAATGTAAATTACAACTCAGCATATAATTCTCTGCTTCTTCACACAATGATTTAAAGTTGATTGAGCACAATTACTATGTACTCAGCATATTTACTGCTGTATAAAACTTTCTCTCTCTCATAAAGAAAAGGCATCCAGGCACTTTTCTGAACAATAGCATTGTTAAACATTTTTTGATGAGGCTTTTTGTGAAAACATGTTTTATCTTTCAGTTGTTTACAAATCACTTTAGCAGTGGTTTGGGAAAGTGCTTTAATATGTACTAATGTTCCTTCTTGAGCAGGAACTTTGCTTAAGTGGTTTTCTGAGCAGAATCCTGTTTATCTGTCCATTTATCTGAGTTTAAATTAAGGATTTATTCTGGTATCTCAAAACACTTTGAAACAAAGCTACTGAAGGGTAGCACATAGATCACTGTAGCACATAGATCACTCCCCTCATCTGCAACATTTGTACCTCCCAACACACCATGCCCTATCCTTGTTTGCCACACTGGCTGGACAAAACACTGCTGTGATTGTACAAGACCATAAATACATATATTTTCTTGGCTAGCCAGTCAACAGGAAGGCTGAGTGGTCAGTCAGCTGGTGACTAATACAGAAAGCAACCCTCCATGTAGCTCAATTTTGCTTTTCAACTTGCAGAGCTAACCAAGGGCTTGGTGACTGAAGGGTCATTCTTCACAATTCTGCTGAATCTTTTTTGCTGTTATCAAACTCGTGTTGGCTAATGGGTTCGTATTTCTTTGTGGTGCCTGACAATGTGACCACAGAAATTTGGTTTCTTTATGAAGCCAAGGGTTTAAAACCAAACCCATGGATGTCAAACTTATGAGTCCTTGTATAAAATTAAAGGAAAATGTAATCAATATTACCAAGCAAATTTTACAAGACTTACTCATATTAATGTTGGTAATTTTTTTTTTTAGTATTTGATCAAGTCTGGCAATGATTTAGACATCAAATTACAGAGAGGTTTGAGGGATGCAGTTTGCAAAGCCATTTTCAAGTGTTACTTTCCTTCAGTCTGCTCCTTGTCACTGTCAAAGCTGAGTACCACTCTTAATCTTGTTGATACTTGTGACTGCATGAGAAGGAAGTTAAGATTTTAATATTAGTTGTGGTAGGGCTCTGTGCATAATAATCAGCTTTAATCACTTTTTAATTAGTTTGCTTCTCCTGTCAGCAAATATTCCCCCTCTTTGATGTTTTCAGACTACTCTCTTCACTAACATGACAGAATGCAATTCAGTTTCTGTGGATGCCCACAGAACTCTTCACTGAATTACTTAATTCAGCAACATTGTTCTCCAAAAAGAGAGAAAAGAAAATCCCCTGAAGAACAAGCTAATAATTTTGCATGCTTAATGACAAATCTGTTAATTTCACACAAACCAGTCAAAAGAAAAGGCCACTAGAGGGAAGTAAATCCAATATGGTCAAAGAAAATAAAATAAAATAAGAAAAACCCTTCTCTAAATGATTGTAGCTAACAGAGTGGTTTGGACTTACAACAGCAGAAGATTTTGGTCTGTATTCTTAACAAAGATATGACAACTGAATAAAACAATTATTGTATTTATAAAGAGGTCTTGCACTTCTTGCATTGTGCATACCAAAACCATTAAAACAGTATGTAGGAAAAGATTGCATATTAAAAGGTAGTATCAACACGGGATAAATATGTTGTGTGGGCATAATTTATTGCACACCTGTATCTTTCGTATTAGACACATATCAAATGCAAAAAAATTGATTTAAACCAATATCTTTGGACTTCTGGTAAAGTGGTCCTTGTAAAAACATATATATTTTTGTTGTCATGTCATATGTTTAATCTTGGATCTTTGTTTTCTATGAATATGTGCACAAACCTGCAGCATCATGCAATAACTACTACCCATTTCATCTGAATTAAGATTATAAGGAAAGACTACCAGCAGTGAGTTTATAATAAAACCTCTCCAATGTTCCAAAGCCTTAGTTCCACAGCTTGCTTTTCTGAGGTTGGATACCCTAGCTTTTTCTATATCCCTTCTTATTTATGACTAAAAGTAACTCAAAAAGATGTCCATTTTTCTCTCCATACTTTCCATCAACAAAAACTCCATTAATTTTCTTCCACATATCATAAAACACTGCATTTTTTTCTTGTCCTTTTAAATATACATTCACCCTGCTTATAGTTTTATACAACTACACAGCCTGTAAGCCTATAGGAATGTTTTTCTTTTTTAACTACATTTTATATATGACTCCATTTCATTTATTACAGCACTCTCTCAAGCATAGCTGTCTTTTTATATCCAGATAAACTGAGAGATATTCTGAAAATCTGGTCTTAAATCCTCTGAAGTCTTTCCAATAGCATTTTTGGTAATGTAAGAATTATTAAAGGGAATGCAAACAGTCTAGAGTTTACTGTCAGTATGTCAAACACTATCAAAGCATTGGTCTTTTCCCTGTTTTGAGTAAACTGCAGAGAAAATCTATATCCTTAACCAGGGACAGACAACTGCAAAAGACATTATTTTTTAAAAGCTTACTACTTAAATATCTCAAGCTGTGTTCACACAGCTGTTATCCACTTTAAAAATGAACTGTATTTCAGGTGACCTCCACCTGGGTGAGCTTGGTGACTGTATGTAATACCATGGAGCAAAACATCCAAAAGGAAGTTTACACAGGGAAAGTATACACAGGGGAAGTTTCTGGCACCTCACTTTCTCCCTTTAGTGAGAAAGGAAAAGGGAGATGCAGGTTTCCAACATGATACATTGCCTCAGGACTTCAGGCAATTCTCAATGCAAGGCCTACATATTATTAGGCATCTTACATAATCAGCTCTTCTGTTACAATCATGGACAGTGAGCGAGTGGGTTTTGGGCTTTTTCAAATAAATTTTCATGAATATTATTAGTATTGCCATCATTGTCATTATTATCACCATCATCACAGCAAGCTGTTCATTTTTGTATGCCCAAAGGCAAACGAGTCATTACTTACTCATCAATAAAACTACTCATCCCAGATACACAGGTAAGCAGATTTTTGCTAGGCTGCTCAGTGAAAGAACCCAGGGCCTTCCCTACAAGTGGAACATAACAGGATGCTCCTGAACATTAGCACTTTTACTTAGCAGAAGCATATCATCAAATGTGTTCTACTCCAAACAGCAGTTCTGCCAGCTCAGTTCCTGTTCTACATTAAACACTTCAGCTGCAGTTGCAATGTCACTGCACAGCAGGTGAAAAACATTTCTGGAACAAATGTCAGCAAGGGATAATTCTGAAATAACCTTCTTCACTACAGTTACACCAGCCAGAAGAGAGCAGTGCTATATGGATTGCCTTGTTGCTAACCTATGATGCTGTTTCCTGGCACAGTAAGTATTTCTAAAGAAGAAAGAGTTGCAGAAATAAACAAAAAAAAGAGAGGTCTTATCGTTTCTCATGTTCCTCATGAAGATTCACCTTGGACATGAATTCAAACTGAAATGGGGCAAAAAAAAGCTCAAAATAACAATGCAAAGTTCACAAAGGAAAAAAAAAAAATTCTATTAGGATAGCTCACCTGAGGAAATGGCTCATTCAGATGCAGAAGTATCTTACAGTGAGGTAAGCTGTATTATCTGTGCTATGAAACACAGATACCAAGGAAAGTGAATTCAATTTCACTCTGCCTTTGAATTATGGAGCTGTAATGGTTAACCTATGGTGTTCTACTCTTGCAAAAGTGAAGTTGCAAAAGCACCAGACAGACTCCAATCCTGAAGAATCACTGGCACAGCTGGTCTCAGATGGCTAAAGCCTGCACTTTAATTTTAAACAGAAAGGTATGGGTTTGCGTCTTGTGTAATGGGGTCAAAGGCAACCTTCCAAAAGCATTTAATGCCCTCATCATCAGAAGCTGAAAGCCGTCATGGAAAGCACTTAAAAACATGCAGCAATCTGCAAAACCCCCTAACCACCAACCCAGGCTTCCAAGAAACACAGGATCCCCCAGCGCGCGCCCAGGTGGCAGGGACACGGCGACAGACACGCGGCACTTACCATCTTGGTCCGTGGTGACCGTGATGGCCGTGAACTGCTTGGGGGAGAAGCTGAGCTCCGAGACGCCGTTGGTGGCCTCGATCTCGAAGGTGTAGTTGACGTGGGACACGAAGTCGAGCACGGTGACGGAGGAGTTGGTGAGCCCCGTGTGCCGGGGGATGAAGCGGATGCCGCCGCCGCAGATCTCACACTGGCTGGCGTCCGAGCCGCACTTCTTACAGACCACGCTGTAGGTGAGATCCTTCCTGCCGCCCGTGTCGCTCGGGGGGCTCCACTCCAGCATCAGAGCTGTCTCGTTGATGTTAAAAACCACATTCCTCGGAGCGGAGGGTGGCCCTGCAGAAAAGGAGGGGAAGGCCTGGTAAGCCAGTGTTAGCTACTTTGGAGAAAAAAAATTGCCTGAAGGCAATTATTTGCAAATAACAGCTAATTTTCAATGACAGATTCAATGTAAAAGTTAAAAGTTGTCTACATACAATCCTTATAAAAAAAAGGAACAATAAATCGGTGACATCATAAAAAGCTGAATAATCAAAACAACTTAGAATTAATTCAGAAAGAATTTAAGACAACACAAAAAAAGACTTGGGAACGTCAAGCCTAGACTACATAACCCAAATTTTCAATACATGGCTCTTGCTGCTGTAGGGTACTGAAGTAGAGCTCTAACTGCAAAATTTATATCCTTACTTTATGTCTAGTAATGTAGGCTTTTCTGAGACTAAAAATCTTTGATGTTTTGTAAGAGACAAATTGAGTAATAAATAAATAACAGCTTTGGAATGAAGACAAGAGGTAAAATTGTTTGTATTAGTTTTGTACTGCCAGATATTTATTTCTCTCCTTCACTGCTTATCCCAAGGGATTTCTTTGCTGCTGTTCATAAACAGGGTTAGGTGGCAACAGGCCAAGACTATTAGGCATAAGAAACAGTTTACAAGTTTTCTTTCTTTCCCACCTGGCATCTCATCAGCATCAGGATAACAGTGAAGACATCAGCTTTTCAACTTAAAGGTCTAAAAGGATGATCAGGAAGCAAGAGAAAAAGTACTTTAAGGCTATGAGGAGGAATGCAAAGACAACAAGCAGGTGTTAGAGCTGTCTGTGCACTGCCAGAGAACCACAAGGGACCCACTTCCAATTTCCCACTCATCACACAACAGTCATGGACTGTCCAACAAGTGCTGAATTACTGTCTAGGCTCACATGGAAATGATATGAGGCTTTATATATAAAAATAAATATATAGAGTGATCTAGTGATTGCTCCCTGCAGTGAGCACTGGTGAGGCACCTCGAGTCCTGTATCCACTTCTGGGCCCTTCACTTAAAGAAAGGCATTGAGGGGCTGGAGAATGTCCAGAGAAGAGCAATGGAGCGGGAGAAAAGTCTGGAGCACAAGGCTGATGAGGAGCAGCTGAGGCAGCTGGGGGTGTTCAGCCTGGAAAAGAGGAGGCCCAGGAATGACCTTATTGCTCTCCAAAACTCTCTGACAGGAGAGTACAGTCAGGTGGGCGTTAGTCTCTTTTGGGTAACAAGTGACAGAAAAAGGGGAAATGGCCTCAACTTGTGCCAGGGGGAGGTTCAGGTTGGACATCAAGAAGAATTTCTTCACAGAAAGAGTAACCAGGCAATAGAATTTACTGCCCTCAGAGGTGGTGAAACCAAATTCCCTGGAGACATTCAAGAAACCATGAGATGTGGCACTTAGTGCTGTGGTCTGGTTTACAAGGTGGTGATTGGTCTAAGGTTGTACTTGGTGATCTTGAAGGTCTTTCCCATCTTAATGGCCCTATAATTCTATGATTCCATATCAGATTCCACAGTCTAACAGAAGAACTTTACCACCTAATTATTTTTTAGATAGGAATTAATGAAGGGGTGATGGAAAGGTACAAATTATTACAGGATATCCGAACAATCTCATCTCAATTTCTTATTGCATTACTGTTCTTCCACTTAACATGTTTCAGGCAAGCACTTACAGATGTATGATTTTCAAAATCAATTTGGATGTAATCTCAAAACATGGATGTGGAAAAATGTGAGGCCCTATACTCCCAGTGTTGATATACATGAGATGACTGTGGTAAACCCAACTGCTGACCTCTGGGGTTTTTGGGCTGAATGAGTTGAATAAGCATTATATTCCCAGCTCTCAATAAAATCACAGTGCTTCACCAATGGTTAGCAGAACTTGGAAAACTTTCAGCTTGCTTTGCAGCTTTTGATGATTTATAAAACTGCCAACAGGACTTAGGCATAAAGTTTTGACTGAGACAGTGGTGAAATTTTGAGTGAGCTTTTCCTTATTTCAGAGTTTCTTAAGCAGACTGAAAGGCTATAAGAAACACTTGCAAGTGACACGAGCTAATTTTTACACAGAGTGCAACATTCATAATTTTTAAGTGATGCCTTTTATTTATTTATGTGGCATAAACATGGGTAAAAAACCTGGCATGCTTGTAAATAAAAAAGCTGCTATTGTGTGGGAGTGCTAATGTGAATAATAAACATCAAGCTTTTCTGTGAACTGTAATTCAGCCACTTTTTCATTTTTGGTATTTACTTGTAACTTGTAATAAGAGAGTAATTAACTTTGCCCTGAAATAAATGATGAGTTACCTGCTGGATTTCAAGCACTTGATATTTAAAACAGATGGAAGTGTTACATTGCTTTGCATTTTTTCAGTGGATAAGTAAGTTTAAAATCTTTTGAATGGATGAGCATTTATTAACACATGTATCTGTCTAGAATTTATGGTTAATAGAAAACCAATCTTCCCACAAAATAACTATGAGGATGACGGCTCTAGCTACTCTGGAAAACAGTCCTGAGATCGGAATAAGCTAAAACCATCACACATTACTTCAGCTTCAGTTCTTATTCTTTATGTTCAGAAGACAGGAATAATTATGTTTCCTCTAAAACCATGCTGTGAGAATTAAATAATGACTGGGTCTTAACAAATTCCCACTGTTAAAACCATGGAGGAGTTTTAGGAATATGGAGGATGAGCCGTAATTGCACTTCCATATGTGCATAACTTTAAGTAGATGAGTAATCCCCTTGAAATAATTGGTAATATTAATGCACGTAAAACTAAGCAGCTGTGTAATTGCTTGAATGATTGGAGTCAGTGTTCTAAAACTGGCTTAAATTTAATCTTACATAAACTATAGATAGTATGACAAAGGTTATCGCAGCTCAAGCTTTTCTGATATTATTTCATCAATTTTGGCAGGCCCAAACAGGAATGAATATAAATCTGGGCAATAGGGGAGTTTTGTCTGCCTTTGTGGATTTTGATTTTCTATCAGATTTTCCTTGTACTATATGGAATGGCACCTACAGAAGAACTGATACAGCAAATAAAATACTTTTTTTAAAAGATATTTTTTCATTTGTACTAAGAGTGAAGGTTTGTGTAGTCGTGGTTTGTGACTTATTTCTCAGTTATAAGAAAAATCACATATTATTGTCCATTCACATTTCAGCGAAAAGGAAAACTATGAATTATGTTAGAGGTGTCTTAAAGTAGATGACTGTCCTCTTGCAAATGCAGGAACCCGCAAACACACTTCATACTGAAGGCCCCTCATGCCAATTTGCATGAGGATTAAATAGCTTTTTAATTGCTGTTAAATTATGCCAGTTAAACTGTGATTTCATGCAAATATTAAGCTGTAATGACATGCAGTGAATCATTTACTAAGATTTAGAACTTGGAACAAAGAGAGACAATTAATTGTAATCCTCAGATTCAGCTAAATTATGTGTCACTGGGCTTTTATGAATGTGGCCTGATTGCTTTGTTATCATTTATAAATTATACAAAGATTATTTGGCACATTGGAAAAAGCTGGCAGCAATAACCCTTCTCAGACATCTGTATGCAAAGCTCTCAGGGTTTTCCTTGTATTGATTTTTAAGAAAAACAAGTACATTGGTGAAAATAAGGGATCCTTTCCTCACAGCAAAATTCATGACTGAGTTTGATGCGAAAGAATAAAATACAGTTCAGATGGATGAGCATTATAAAGACATGCAGCTCTTCTGCTGAGATGGAACTCAGCCAGAGAGCGAGTAATTTCCTTTGCTTCATTTACAAATTACAATGAGGAAGTATTTTGACACTTGATGTGGAGGAGACTGGCATGGATGTCTTATGGTGAAGCAGGTCTGCTCTGAAAGCAACAGAGCTGAGTTTGTGCCTCATGCAGTGCTTTGCACCTCATCTTGTTTTATGTATTCTCTTCCTCTCTGAAGGCAAAGTGCATTTTCCTGTGTGTGGAAACAAGAGGAGCCATCCCAGCACTGCAGAAGTCTGGTGAGGGCAATGCAGTATTTTACACACTTGAGAGTGAAGACTGTCTGGAAAACAAATTGTTACTGTTTAAGTAAGAACTGTCCATTATACACTATTGGACTCTTAGAATTTTATGTCATTGAATACTGAAGTTACAGCAGAAGGGCAAAGACTAACCATCACCTTAGGATACTCAGAATCATCATCTGGCTGTGCCCTTGAGTTCATAATTGTGTTGTGATATCTATATATGTAGCATAGATAAATAGTGTCACTTGATGTAGAATTCCATTTTCCCCTTTTCACTTATTCTTTTCCTGTGAGGCAGGCAGGAAGAATGGAAGCCAGTGACTGCAAACCAATACCTCAAGTCTGAGCATAATGTTAATTGCAAAAAAGTGTGTATATATATAACAACAGAGGCAGTAAACTTCAAGTGTGTTGCCTGATTTTGCTGCTGAAATTCAGTGCTGACTTAAAAATAGAGGATATACTTTGTGGCAGAAGTTATTGAACAGAGCATAAGTTTGTCAGGTTCAAATTGTTTAAGTGTAACATTAAAAAAGAGGAATTCAGACAACTCAGACAATCAACATAAGCCTGCCTGACCTTGAAAAGATGGATCAATTCATCCGATTACTTTATAGTGGGAAATGTTAGACTTTATGTACAGAGTAATCAGACAGGGGATTAGATATGATGCTATTTGTTGCTCACTGTGTATGCACAGATCGCTGATAGAGTACTTGCACATGGCAAAGAAATACAATAAGAAGGAAGAGTAGCAGTGAGAGATTGATAAGAAGTGTAAGTAAAATGAAAAGAGCCTAGGAGAAGGAGATTAACAATATATTCTAATGTAATTTTCATTCCTCTTACTGAAATTAGATTTTTATTATGGTGTTCTGCAAAGTGAACACTCTCCTCCACGAAATGCTACATAAAGTAAAAATGGGAGCTGTACAATTTTGTAAAAGCACACAGTACTTTCACAGAATTAATCAAAGTGGATTTGAAGCTCATCTAGAAAGAAGTGGATGCCTGTCTTAAAACAAGTGAGGGGTTTTTTTCCACAATGCTACATATGTAAATTTCTCAGTACTGAGGAAGAGCTCTGGAGTGAGGAATACTGCCTAACCCTACACAGGAATAAAAAGAGAAAACAAAATATCTATCTTAAGCATATTACCTTGCAGGACATGGGGGAGAAAATGAAATGTGCAACAATAAAGTCAGTCAAAATGTTTGAACATGAATACATTTGTAAGGGGAATCCACTGTTCATTCTGTGTTTCATTTAAGAATATCTCTCCCTTCAAATGTCCCAAGAAAAATTTCTGTTTCTTATGTCATGTCTCATAGGTCAAGATAGAAATCTGAAAATGAATATGGAAAATGCAAAACCAAAGGTGGTTATGTAAAAATGGCATTTCATTTCTGCGCAGCATTTTCTGTCTATTTAGTCAAATTTCCTAATTTTCTTAAAACTTTTCAACTCCTTTTTTTTTTAATAGTAAAAACATGACAGTTTGGAAGGACCAGTCTAAATTCCACTCATATCTGTATCTTTCTTTATTAAATTTAAATTAGCGACATCTGCACAGATCGACCAAAAGCAGCGAGGTTGTATTTGTGACAGAAACATAATTTTAGTAACTGAGAGAGTAAGCAGTGGGGCTAAAGATATCACTTGGGGAATAACTTGGCCTGAAGACTCCCCATTACTGCTGAGGCGCAAGGTAAGAACAGAGTCTGCCTGTCAAGAGCTTCAGTGTCATTAGCAGAGCTGACAATTAATGAAATAATCTCACTTGGGGAATAACTTGGCCTGAAGACTCCCCATTACTGCTGAGGCGCAAGGTAAGAACAGAGTCTGCCTGTCAAGAGCTTCAGTGTCATTAGCAGAGCACTGACAATTAGTGAAACAATGATCACTGTAGGTGTAAGATGAAATCACCTGCTGTGCCAATCAATGAAGAACTGATACCTTGCAGCCTAGGCTGAATAGGAGACGGGTCATGGTGGCACTGAACCCAGAAACCAGAATGTGCTTCACTGTCTCCTTTAGTTCTTCCTTCTCCCAAGTTGAGGAGAGATGAGGCACTGACATCCTGTTGTGGTTGATTTTTGTCCTGCCTCAACTCTCTCAGTTACTTTGGCTGACATCCTCAGCAGGAATGACCAAGGTCTTCCTCACAATTTTCACCCAAGGCAGCTCTCTGCACTCACATTTGTTAAGAAATCAGCAGGGTGTTGAAGTAACTGCACTCTGATGCCACAGGGCTCTCATGCTCCTCCCTACCTTATCAACATACCAGGGTATCAGGGCTCATAACTGTGCCCTGAAAGATAATTATGGAAACATAATGCCATGTTTGAGTAATTTTTTCAAAGAACTCTCTTTTGGCAATGAAAAATCAATGACTTACAAAGAATATGGAGCCACATCTGCAAAATGTATGAGCGAAACCCTCTTCCCAAGCATGAAAGTGTCAACAACACCTGCGATGTTTTGGCTCTGGGAGTAAGTTTTGTGCTTGGGGCATCGATTTGAGTGGAATTATTTGTAATCACCATTTTCCCATGGGAAGCCTGAAAGGATGCAGTTTATTCTCTCACACACTTCATACAAAATGCCAGGCCTGTGTGCTCTGCTCCAAAGTGAGCTGGGCCTAGGGACACTCTCTGACCCCTGAGCCCCTGAGGTATCCAGAGGCTGGGACTTCCCTTCCCCCTGAAAACCTTCTGGTTAGATTAAACAGTTTTCTGCCTTGGGTCTGAGGAGTGCCATTTTTAGTGACCATCACCCTCATGAATTGGATGGACAATGTCTTGGTGTTGGTAATGACCTCAGTGCCTATGGTTTTGTAAATCAGCTTTAAATTATCATGTCTATTCTAAATTTGCCCAGTCCAGTGTCATTGCAAAAAGCAGCACGAGCAGAGGAAGTAGCTCAATTCAGTCAACTCAGTTATTTTTTCGTGATGCTGCATAAAACATCCCAAAACACAGCTATGCATTGATGGTTATTGCAACAGCACTTTGTCTTTAGGGCTTTATCTCTTATAAAGTTTTCTATACTTAATCTGTCAAAATACTTCATTAATTTAACATGTTAGTTTTTCAGAATTCTCTTAATTGTGGCAATTAAGTACCAATATAAAATCATCCACCAAAAGAATTAATAAAATGTTATACTGAAAACCGAGTATCTTAGAGGATTCTACAAAGTCTTTAACCTTTATTAAATAAGTGATTTTAATAGCCTATTAAAATATAGTAATTTTACACACAACTTTTCAAATACTGCTGTTTGTTCCAGTTTTGAGATTAAACAGATATAGTTGCTTTATAATCAATGAATTAATCCCAGTGAGTAATGAACCACGAATGGAAATCTATAAGAAACATTTTATGAAGTGGTAAGAAAACTTACGCTATGTATGTCTAGACATAAGCTCATTGATCAAAGTAATAAAAATCTCTTCTCAGAATTTCTGCCCCCAGAATGGTGGACATCAGGCTTGTCTTAGGGACAAATATAGGGTAGTCTAAAACCACAAAATTATGTATTCTAAAATTCATTAAAAAACCCTAATGAATTTTCATTATCACAGTTGCATAAGAGGGAATAACTCTCTGTTGAAAGAAGGTGATGGTGGAAGAGGTTTAAATTATATCTCATTCTGATTTGATACATTTTTTTCCTTTCTAAAAATTATTTTCTTGTCTTTTTTAGAGTATTTAGTTTTTATTTGATTGTGTGGGGGTATTTCTCTTATATTTTTCATTTAATTCTGAAAAGACAGGGGAGCATGTTACATCAGTTTTTTTCTTTACATGACTCCAGCTTTTTAAAAGTTTTTTGCACAAGCAAATTTTAAAGTATATAAAATGCACGTTACTGGTAGTGAAAACACCATATTGTTATCTATATTACAACAATTACACTTCTTCCTATTACATCTCTGCATTACAAGCTCAAAAGTCACCAAACGAAGAAATCTGGGCATGTTTACAGTTATCTAGACACTAAGCAGAAATATGCCATTTGAATTTTGATTTTAAAAGTATTTTTTGATTAACAGGAATGGAATTCTTCACAAACTCATAGTTTGGGTTTGGTTTTTTTTTAATACAAAACCAAATAAAGGCGGCAACAGAATTTCCAACACTGGTAATGATCAGACTTACGGGTACATGCCATAGTGGGTGGGTCCTTCTCAGCTCTGAAATATCCTTTCTCACACTGGCACACAGAAGTTGCTTCTATGTGAGTCAAACTGTGTGGAGGGCACTTGGAGCACTTCACATTTCCAGCAAATGCTTTATAGAATCCAGGCCTGCAAGCTGCAAAGTAAGAAGATAACTTTCATTAATAGAAGAACATTTTGGTCATAAATAAAATCTGTTCCAAGCCGTAATAATGCTGCTGCTTTCCTTTCCAATCTAGACATAGATGCTTTGATGATACAATTATTGACATTTTTATTTTTGTATATGGACTTAATAAAAATAATCTGTTCTTGGTATATAGTAATGCTGCTTGAAATTGTCTCTAAGTGACTTAATAAAAATAATCTGTTCTTGGTATATAATAATGAATTGTTAAGAAAGATAACTTCCCAATTTTTAGTCAGGCCTCAATGCTGCTTGAAATTGTCTCTAAGTCACTTCACTACTATCACTAAACATTATTTATGTTTTATCTATGTATTAACCAAACAGAGTGAGATAACTTCTATATCTGCCAGAGCTATTAATATGGCTTCCTTACTGAAGTAATGGACAACTTGCAATACCTAAAATATTTAACCCCACAACTCCTGGATGAAACAGAAATGACATCCCCAAATATTGATGGCTGGTCTGAGTTGCCCACAGCACCCCAAAAAACTTCTGAGAGCAGGGCCACATCAGCTGGTCCCTGCTGGCACAAGAGGCTGGAGGATGAGGAAGGGATGAAGGAAGAGATGAAGGAAGGAGACTCTGACACTCTCTAGCACAAACCTTCACAACCTTCCTGACTGGGTTAGGAAACAACCTGGAGAGCAGCCAGCCTTGGGACTGGGAATGTTGGGATGCTCAGAGCTCATCACTCCCCCAGTTACTGGGAGCTGGGGTCCCTGCTGTTCTTAACCGCAGCACAAGCTCGCAAGCCTTTTTTTGCTGGCCTTTGAAGCAAAAACAAATCATTAAAATAAATCTTATCCCAGATCTCTCAGGTCTGCATACTGAGATATTATTTTAAAGTCATCCACAGACTTCATCACACACATTCAAACAGAAATTTCTTTCTTTTTCTGCCAGCTACCACGTCTGCACATGCCAAGCATGTATTGCAGTTTCTGTCTTCTGGCTTCCCCATATGAAAACATTAAAAATTAAAGAGCAACTCAGACATGTGCAGGTCTTACAGGCTCCTTTTCCTCTTAACTCCTCCAGTAGTACAATGGAAACCAGCATTATAAATATAATTTTGAGGTTCCATGTGGCCTTTTCTCACTGTGACATATTCAAGACTATTTTCTTTACATTGCTAGAAGAAATAGGCAGTACTTCCTTTTCTTGTAATAAGATACAAAAAGATGAAAAACTAGGTGTTTTTAAAAGGAACCTCAAAGTATGCATTTAACGGATTCAGTGTCAGTTCATATTAATTGAGTTATTAAAAAGTATCAACTCATAGATAACATATACAGGATCAGTTTTTCTTCTGATTCCATAGGCCTTTCTTGATATAAAAGCAGTTTCAGTAGTAGCTGAATGAAAAGGAGTAAGATGACACTGAAAAAGATAACACTTGATTGCCTCTCAGAACCCAAGAGCCAATTTTTCAAATGCAATTTCAAGAGCTTAATTTTGACCCAGCAATTTCAGCAGTTCTCCTCCCAGTGTGCTGCTCTGACTTTGCTGAATAGACATTAGAGAGGTATCCTGCCCTGCAGTCACTGGCTGGGGAAAAAAAAAAAAAAAGGATTTCTGGTGTTAGAGATAAAAGGGGTGGGAACAGCAGGGATTTTCCCCTTGGAAGTAGGCTGCTGGTCTGACGCAATTGCGATGATAGTGAGTGGCAATTTTCCCTGATTGGAAAGGCAGCAGGTTTGGTGCAGGGAAGAAGGCAGCACTGTAGACACAGGCTGTAGGCACTGACTCCTCTCAGCTTTGCTGGAAGGAAGAGAGGAGGTAAGGCAAAATTTGGGGAAGGGTGGTGTGCTTCCCTGCTTCCTCCTTATCTCCTCATGCCCAAATCCTGCCCTGATAAATATTAAATTCTTGCTTTATTTCATATGCTATGCTTGTGACTCAAGAGCTGACAATTCAAGATTACAGTTTCATTCAATGCAAAATGAGTGCTCTTTAAAATCCTTATGACTTCTGAAACTCATGTCTGTCAGTTCTGAAGTCATTCCTTCTTCCCTTCTGTCCCCCAAACAACAAATTATTTTGGATCAAAAGAAACACAAATTTCTCTTTCAAGAGCAATATTTTGTATAAAATTCAAGAACTTCACTATTTAAAAATCAAACTCAAGGAGAAGATTAATTTCTAATTGAAACAAAACCAAATGTTTTATTCTGAAATGGTAGTCTCTATTGTATTTAAAGCAATTATGGTTTTGACATGGTAAGTCTTTTAAAAGAAAGCACATAGATACTCATTGAAAAGGTGGAGGGGAATAACAATGGATTAGGGCAGATCATTTTACTTCTTCTGAAGTCAACTCAAGTACATCTATCCCTTAAGTCAAGTATGTACCAAATTCAGTGGCAGAGAAGCTACAAGGGATACCAGGAAAGCTTTCAATTGAGAGGTTTACAGAGGTATTAACAACCCACTCCTCACCCAAATACAGAATCTCACAATCGTGATTATTGATATTCCAAATAAAAACAGCCCTTCATAAACAAGATAAAATAACATAAGCTGAAAGCCCCAAAATGATCACAAGCTTGGGAAAACTCATCCCTCTGGATAACTCAGGACTGCCAGCACTCATGGTGGAACAAATTGAATTGTTATTCTGTCAAAGTCAGAGAATATGCAGGCTAAGTCTGAAATACAGCACTTCAGCTGCTGTACATATCTAAGCTTAGACTCTGATAACAATTATTGAGTTCCAGCGGCAAATTAACCAAAATAATTACTAAATTTACCATTTTCCATAGAAAATGTGCAAATTATTTCTAATGATTGACTACTCAAAAAAACCCAAAACAACAAACCCTCAAAAACCAACAAAAAATTTTGTTTTTATCTGTGTTACCACAGAGTATTTTTTCTACCTTCCAGGTCACTGGGTGACATCTTGTTTCCCCTAATGTTTTCTACCAGAGGTGACTTTGTTACTGATTATAGAAAATGTATGAAATTTGACTTTTGTAAAGCCTGGGAAAAGACAGTATATTGTCTTAAAGGTTCAGTAATTAGCAGGGTATCTGAATGAACAATTTAGGGACACTACAGGTTTCTCCAATGAAATATGAGTGATTAGGCAGAGAAACACTGATCATTTAATTAGGTTAAAAAAAGATAACACATCTCTAAATGTGCTTTGCTGCAGCTTCATCTGGATTTGACCGTGAGTTTTGGAAATTACAAAAGTTTCATAACTGATTTAATTTTCCTTATTTAACGTTGAATAGATGGGATTTAGTTTTGTTTGTTTATTCCATGGCCACCTGAGGGTCTTTTGAATTGCCCAGTCCAGTAAATAAGGCCATGGCTCCATTACTCCAAAACACAGCCGTGGGCTGTCTTGTGGAAGAATCTTTAGTGCTCAAGGCTCTTATAGCCATTAAGTTCTTCCCCAGCCTCAGGGGTGCATATTATATAGACACAAAACTGAGAAAATAAAAATGCAGCAATCATCTGACTGGTCATAAGACCTTGTTCCTTCAAAAAAACCAAAAGCAGCATTTTCACTGCTCTGTGGGAGCACATCATTGTCCAAGATTCCAGTTTATAGTTGTTTCAGTTTTGTAACATCTGAATTGACCACTACAGTTTTCCTCAAAGATGAGTCCAAAGGAAACCTAGGAACAACTTTTAGGCATGTCTGACACCGTTGGTCTGGGAGTGGGAAGGTATTTGTCATGAAAATGGATTTTTTATAGCTTGCTGAGAACTCATCAATCAAATTAAATCAAAGAAGACTTCGTTGTCATTTACAATGAATGGCAACCATCAGTAACTGTGGAAGAGGTGTTTTAATCTTTCTGAATCACACTGTTATGCATTTCCACCTCATATATTTTTTTAACCTTGCTTACTGGATCCCCCAAATGGCCTGTGAGAGTGGTATCTTTCATACTTGTTATATTCTGAAAGATCTCAATTTTAAAGTCCTCTTACCCCTCTTCTATCTGCTCACTTTATAAAAAGGGCAATCCAATAAGGCCTGTTCTATTCTACTACTGTGCAGAAAGAAGGAACTATGATAATACTTTAACCAATTTATATTTTAGCAGAAGAGTCTAGAAAAGATAGAAAAGAACGTCAAATAAAGAAGGCAATGAAAGTTGGATGCTTTATATTAAAAAAGGCAGAATACAATCACAAAATCAATATTAGGATATTACAGAATTAGGACAATAAAGCTATGAGGAAAACCTTTGATTGTGAGCACTATCTGGTTAAATAATTTCATCTTTCTCACATGATTCTTGTTTTATTCAGGCCATGAATGGACTGTGAGGGGGATTCACTTTGGGTCATGTTCAAACTGATAGTGAGACTGTGCAGAATGATTTGCTAGAAACCTGAGGAGAATCCAGTGGAGGAAGGTCAGCCACCACAGATTACAGATTATCAAACATGCTGGTTAGTTCAAACTACAAAAATAAAAGACATCATGGTATCCAGAAAGCAAAGCTCTAGTTTGATTTAGTTCCTACACAGAGTAAGGATGGGACAGGTGACACCGCTAGAAAACTTAATGAGAGAATGAGTCAACTTTGGGGGACAATAGACTGATTTCCCTTTTTTATTTGCAATAAACTTGATAATTAATATTTCTGGGTGCTATGGTCTGCACTTAAATGCATGTGTGTTCAAATGCTGCAGTCAATATCTTCTCTTGCTGATATCTCTGCTCTCTAATATTTCTATTCTTAGATTTGGAGAACTGATAGGAGCATTACTCCAACCCTTGACTTTAGAGAGGAGCAAGGCAGAGGAGACAAAAAGAGGCAGGTATAAGGCTGCTTCTTCAAATATGGTATTTACAATAGGTAAATGAAATTAAATGTTCTTCCTCTTTGAGCTCTTTTTTTCCCCCCTAGTGACTCTTCTATAATTCCCGAATTTCAATATTCTGTGGAGTTTTTAAAATGAAAATTATTAGAAGA